TCAATTTTCCACTCGCGGCAAACTTCTTGCAGTAACATTGCTAGATTATTTCCTGTGTGGGCCTCGTTGAACACTCTGGTCTGCAGAACATGGCTTTGCAATATCCACTCGTCATCAACATAGTGTGCTGTGACCGTGACATGAGTCAGTGGCGCAAGACGTCCAGCGATCAACTGTAATTGCAACTCTTTGGGCATTGCTCAGCGAGTCAACTAACTCTCTTCTCACTTTGTCATAAAGAGCAGGGACTTGTTTCTCATTAAAGAACCTCCTATTTGGTACGTGGCTCCAAAATGTGGAGGAGGTGTAGGAAGCCCTCATTCTCCGTGACACTGTACGGCTGGATATCTTTACAGATAAAGAAGGCGATGGCGTCAGTTATTGCCTTGGAGCGGGTAGAACTGTTAGCCAGCGGAGCATGACAAAAAGTTGTGATATGCTGCTGCTCACCAGTCTTGCTGCCGCCAGGGATAGCCTGGTTAGCTTCAGCTGAATCCGAGGAGGATAGGGAGACAGCCGCAGACGTAATATTCACCCCATGTCACCTCTTTAGGTGCGTCGCTAAATTCGTGGTACTGCTCGTGTATTTTATAGCGGCACGGCATTGTTTGCAAATTGCTTGTGATTTATCAAGTTGTCCGTCATTTTTGAAGAATCCGAAGTGTTGCCAAACGTTTGATTTATATTTATTTTTCGGTGCGCTGTGTATTTCTTTCTCCTCGACTTCCATGCTTGTTGATAACTGTGACGCGTGCACGCGGCTCTCGGGCACAGTAGTGGCAGATCAAAGATCGTCTCTGCAGAGTGCTGACATGAGTCGATAATATTATATATGAATGAATCGGTTTTAACCGGTTTTTACCGATGCAAAGAGATGCGACAATCGATGCATTGCGAGTTCAACCCAAACTGTAGCCGATGTGCATTCTTTCAACCGGTGCACCCGCATCTTGAACGTTTATGCCGGTGCACCGATGCGAATCGGTGAATCTTAAGATCCCTAATTTATATAGTTAAAACCGGCCCTTTGAGTGCAACCTTTATGTGAATGTGGCCCGCGATGAAATTGAGTTTGACACCCCTGCTCTAAGTGATGATACACACTCCAGCTCGGAAGAATCCGCCCCATAGACACCCATTACACCACCAGAGGACACCATTACACCACCAGGAGGACACCATTACACCACCAGGAGGATACCATGACAAATATTCTCATGAATATTAAACACAACAACCTCTGAACATTAGAAATATTTGCCTCAATTCAACCTGGAACCTCTCATACAATATAAAGTGTGTGTGTGGAGGATACCATTACACCATCAGAGGACACCATTACACCACCAGGAGGACACCATTACACCACCAGGAGGATACCATTACACCATCAGAGGACACCATTACACCATCAGAGGACACTATTACACCATCAGAGGACACTATTACACCATCAGGAGGACACCATTACACCATCAGGAGGACACCATTACACCATCAGGAGGACACCATTACACCACCAGAAGGACACCATTACACCATCAGGAGGACACCATTACACCATCAGGAGGATACCATTACACCATCAGGAGGACACCATTACACCACCAGGAGGACACCATTACACCATCAGGAGGATACCATTACACCATCAGGAGGACACCATCACACCATCAGGAGGATACATTACACCATCAGGAGGATACCATTACACCACCAGGAGGACACCATTACACCATCAGGAGGATACCATCACACCATCAGGAGGATACCATTACACCATCAGGAGGATACCATTACACCATCAGGAGGATACCATTACACCATCAGGAGGATACCATTACACCATCAGGAGGACACCATTACACCATCAGAGGACAATTTACACCATCAGGAGGACACCATTACACCATCAGGAGGATACCATCACACCATCAGGAGGATACCATCACACCATCAGGAGGATACATTACACCATCAGGAGGATACCATTACACCATCAGGAGGATACCATTACACCATCAGGAGGACACCATTACACCATCAGAGGACAATTTACACCATCAGGAGGACACCATTACACCATCAGAGGACAATTTACACCATCAGGGGACAATTTACACCATCAGGAGGATACCATTACACCATCAGGAGGATACCATTACACCATCAGGAGGACACCATTACACCATCAGAGGACAATTTACACCATCAGGAGGACACCATTACACCATCAGGAGGACACCATCACACCATCAGGAGGATACATTACACCATCAGGAGGATACATTACACCATCAGGAGGATACCATTACACCATCAGGAGGATACCATTACACCATCAGGAGGACACCATTACACCATCAGAGGACAATTTACACCATCAGGAGGACACCATTACACCATCAGGAGGACACCATTACACCATCAGGAGGACACCATTACACCATCAGAGGACAATTTACACCATCAGAGGACACCATTACACCATCAGGAGGACACCATTACACCATCAGGAGGACACCATTACACCATCAGGAGGACACCATTACACCATCAGGAGGATACGTACTGACCCAGAACACCATCAGGAGGATACGTACTGACCCAGAACACCATCAGGAGGATATGTACTGACCCAGAACACCATCAGGAGCAGGGGTGTAGTGCTGAACGCCGCTCCGGCACTTCACAAAGTGCAGTACCCTAAGGTGCCATACACATGCCACGTATTTTGCGTAGCTGTGGCTTAGTTGAAAGCCCAGTGATGATCTGTTCATCTGTCATAAAATAAAACCATAGAAAATAATATGATACAGTAAAAGTACTTCTGGGTCTCTGTGAGTCATTCAAGCTCGGCTCTGTGTGTGGCAAGTAGGGTATTTTGTGTGAGCGAGCGAGAGAGCGCACCGGTACCGGGGATTGTTGTTGTTAGCATTAGCTGAATAACGGATATAAGAAGCTGTTTCTACACCAAGGCGGAAGAGAGCTGTCTCCTGTCTGTTTATCCTGTTTTAAGCTGAATAAATAAAAACAGGTTAAATAATATATAAATCTATTTCATACTATATGACAGTAAAACAAGAATACCGCTTAAAAGGGGATTGATTAGTGAAATATGCATAAAGAAAAAGTAAATCTGTTTCACATGGGTGTTGTTGAGAGATGTATCCATAGATCAGTATCCAGAGTATCCAGTCCTTAATTTTGCCCTCAAAGTGCACCAGATTGATGCATTTAACTTCAAAATGTTAAAAAAACATCTAGAGGATGTTAGGTCCACCCCCCACTTAAACACGTTCCAATGGATAAGATACTAAATACCTGAGCACAGTTTTTATATCGTAGCTATGTCCATATGCTTCTCTTTTTGTGGTCGTGCCACAACATGCATGCGCGAGTCATAGGTGCGCTCCGGCACTTATGAAAATAGCACTATACCCCTGATCAGGAGGATACCTACTGATCCAGAAGGTGACGCAGGTTCTGGTCCAGGCTCTGGTCATCCAGCTCATGCAGAATGCAGCAGCTTGACTGTTCCTCTCACCCTTCACCTCTCTTCCACTCCCTTCACTGACTGCCAGTGTCTGCAGAGAGGCTTTCAGACCCTGGTACTGGCCTGCATTGCTGTGACTAAAGCAGGCCCTACCTACAGCCAGGACATGGTTTAATCAAATACTCCAAGCAGCTCGCTCCGGCCCAAGGTTGAAGGTTGCTCGCGGCTCCGGGTACTATGACTATGCTTGCACGTCATGGTACCATAGCACCTCCAAGGCGCTAAAAATAAAACTTCAAACATCGCAAAATAAACTGGTCAGACTACTGCTTGACCTTTCATCTAGAACCCACCTCACCTCTGCCCACTTTGACAACCTAGGATGGCTTAGAGTAGACGACAGAGTACAGCTACTTGCAATGGGCCTGGTCTACAAGATCCACTACACCTCTATGGTACCCATGTACATGTCAAAATTCTTCCCAAAGGTCAAGGAATACCATGATCATAACACCAGAGGGAGCTCCACAAATCATGTGAAACCCAGATTTGGCACAAAAAAGGGGGAATACACGTTTCGCAATTATGCCACATCAAGGTGGAACGCTCTTCCCACAACTGTAAAGGAAAGTAAAACTATACTTACCTTCAAAACCTCTCTTAAAGAGCACCTTCGGGGGAGAGCATTGCAAAACTGGCCCCGTAATGGTACAAATCTCAACCTGTCGTTCAATGGACAGCTTCCCCCCCCCCCATCTATGTATATTACTCGCATTTTAGACTCTGTTACTAACTGTATATCTGTAGACTTGGTATGTCTTAAATGTCCGGTTAGGATGTATTAGAACGAAATCTAAAATGAAAATTGTAAATAAGCAATCTGTATGTAAAAAACCACCTGTATGTAAATTGTAAATAAGCCATCTGTATGTCAAATATGTCTTAAATGTCTTAAATGACATGATGAATTGGAAATGGGGGACCCTGATGTAAACAAGACGAAAGTCTTTCTCTGGTCTGCATCCCCGTAACAATTGTATGTTTTGAGCTGTACTGTACTGTACCCAATATACAAGCTGTTAATACACTTTTCAATCAATCAATCCGGTAATGGAGCTGGACTCAGTCCTATGATGTCAAACCACCTAGAAAAGAAACACCTAGAAACACCTGGAAAGACCTGAGGGATTCTGTTATGATGAAATTGTCTCTCAGGATCGTGTCTCTGTATCTGATGTCCAAACATTCAGGACATTCATCTGAAGAAACACTCTAAAGACACACTCTGAACAAACATCAATATATATATGAATTAGAGATAGTTATATACAGTGCATCACATATACGCTGTGGTCACGTATTTGATGTGGTTATATTGATAGTGCAGTTACGCATATTGATTGAGGGTTGCAGCTTGAATCAGTTGATTGAGCAGGGCCTTGTTTTGTCTGTGTTTGATGGTTTGTTTCCTCTTCTGAAACTGCTCTCTGAATGGCTCCCTCAGGTCTCATCCTTCTCTTCTACTTCGTCTTCTATGCGTTTCTGGCGGGGATGTTTTGTCTTACCATGTGGGTGATGTTACAAACTCTGGATGAAAACATCCCGACCTATCAGGACCGAGTGCCCAGTCCAGGTGAGTTCACTCTGACAGATTCTCCAGTTGACTTCCTGTTTACTGTTATGTGTGCATAATGATCATGTGCTATGAAATCATTTCTAGGTTCTGAATTACCATTGATCTCAGATCTATTTTGTTGAATGCAGGTTTGGTGATTCGTCCGCATGCAGCTGACATCTCCTTCAACCGCAGTGACCCTACAAACTACAACCAGTACACCCAACACCTGCACAACTTCCTGCAGAGTAAGCAGAAACCGACACCCTAAAGGAACGTCTCAGCAGGACACCATGTTACACGAAGCCCAATAACTGCATGGGCTTGATATGTTTCCTGTCTGAGATGATCATCATTTTCTCGAGGTTCACACAGATGTAAACAACAACCAGCTGCTGATGTTTCCTGTCTGAGATTACTGAGTTTATAACAGAACCATCCACCAGCTGTTTGGTGTAAACAGCAGTCGTAACATAAGCGGTGATGACACCGAGCAGGAGGCGTGGCCACTGATTGGTTTCCTCCCTGTCTTCAGAACAGGAAATCAGTAGATGAACCTTACGACCATCACAATAAAAGTCTGGTTGATGTTCTTGTTTTTCAGATTATAACGACAGTGTTCAGGAGCGTAACGACCTGTGTCTGGTGGGCGAATACACGGATCAGGACGCCGAGCCGGTGAAAAAGGTTTGCCAGTTCAAACGCAGTCTGTTACGCCAGTGCTCAGGTCTGTCGGACAGCAGCTTTGGATACGCCGAGGGGAAACCCTGCATCATCATCAAGATGAACCGGGTCAGTACCACCCTTCCCCCCAGTCCTCTACAACAGGAAGGCCTTATTACAGTGACATTACAGAGCATCTTCAGTGTCTCTGTTTTCACATCAGAGGAATCTAATCACGACTCCTGACAGATTTTCATTTTATTGAATGTCATTGTAAGAAATTATAAATAATAAGAAAATAATGAGAGTATGTAAAACTGAATGTCTGCAGGTCATCGGACTGAAACCCCAAGGAGACCCTTTCATCAACTGTACCGCCAAGGTAACTCAAACAGCTATCCCATAATGCACCTGTGATGTCATTAGGCAAGGCAAGTTTATTTATATAGCACTTTTCTGTACGGGACAATTCAAAGTGCTTTACAAAACAAATTAAAAGACTTTTTAGGAATACATACAGTAAAAACACATTATATTATGGCATTTTACAACAGGCACTACAAAGCAAAGATAATAAAATAATTAAAATAAACACCACAGGTATGCAATACATGTTTGAAAGGCATACTGTAGTTCGAATATGATCAGCTCAATTCAAAGCAGCCAAAGAGATGTGTTTTTAGTCTCGATTTAAAAATAGTAAGCGTTTCTGCGGACGTGCATGTTGGGTAGTTTGTTCCAGAGTGTCGGGGCATAACAGATAAACGCTGCCTCTCCATGTTTTGTTGTTACTCTCGGAGCCGATAGCAGACCCGTCCCGAGGCACCTTGATGGCTCCTAATTATGCAGGAGTTCAACAATATACTTTGGTCCTAAACGATGTAATGATTTAATTCATTAGCCAATCAAGTTTCCTGAAACAGAAAAACACAATATACACAACGTTATAGAAGGTGCTCTCCAGTGTTGAACCTTTAATTGTGTAAACCAGCGATAAGTCATTATAAGTGAGTGTTTATATTTGTACAGTTTACTGGGTGCTTCACAGCAGGTAGAAATAGTTTGATGTGTAATTCATCCACAGCCTGTCCTCTTTTCATTTTAAAATAATGGATATCCCTCACTGTCCGCAGAGAAATAGTCTGCTACAGATTAGGTATTTCCCATCTGAAGGACGCCTGGACAAGATGTTCTTCCCCTACTATGGCAAGAACACTCACGTAAGTAAACCGTGTCTGTTTATAGCTTTTATTATTATTATTATTTGTATCATTCATATTTTCATAATTTTTATTTTCATATTATAATTGTATTTATTTTTATAATTACTATTATCTTTATCATTATTTGTGTATTTAATATTATCATTATTATTAGGTCCATTCTTTTGATAAATCATCCTAACTAGAAACTGTCAGGATTTGGGCAGGAGGAAAGAACCAATGGCTGTCAGAGAGGGAGGGTTACGCAATCATGCTTTAATGAAGAGAAATCAGAGAAACCAGGCAATACAACAACATCGAGAAACTGAACCAGAAATATAATAAAATACAGCACACATCAGGACAGGGACGAAGATGAGGACCTGACAGAGAACACATAGGGCAGCAGGTATATATACAAACAGGGCTGATGTCAGATGCTTGACAGAGGGCAGCAGGTATATATACAAACAGGGCTGATGTCAGATGCTTGACAGAGGGCAGCAGGTATATATACAAACAGGGCTGATGTCAGATGCTTGACAGAGGGCAGCAGGTATATATACAAACAGGGCTGATGTCAGATGCTTGACAGAGGGCAGCAGGTATATATACAAACAGGGCTGATGTCAGATGCTTGACAGAGGGCAGCAAGTATATATACAAACAGGGCTGATGTCAGATGCTTGACAGAGGGCAGCAGGTATATATACAAACAGGGCTGATGTCAGATGCTTGACAGAGGGCAGCAGGTGTATATATACGAACAGGGCTGATGTCAGATGCTTGACAGAGGGGCAGCAGGGTATATATACAAACAGGGCTGATGTCAGATGGTTGACAGAGGGCAGCAGGTATATATACAAACAGGGCTGATGTCAGATGCTTGACAGAGGGCAGCAGGTATATATACAAACAGGGCTGATGTCAGATGCTTGACAGAGGGCAGCAGGTATATATATACAAACAGGGCTGATGTCAGATGCTTGACAGAGGGCAGCAGGTATATATATACAAACAGGGCTGATGTCAGATGCTTGACAGAGGGCAGCAGGTATATATACAAACAGGGCTGATGTCAGATTCTTGACAGAGGGCAGCAGGTATATATACAAACAGGGCTGATGTCAGGATGCTTGACAGAGGGCAGCAGGTATATATACAAACAGGGCTGATGTCAGATGCTTGACAGAGGGCAGCAGGTATATATACAAACAGGGCTGATGTCAGATGCTTGACAGAGGGCAGCAGGTATATATACAAACAGGGCTGATGTCAGATGCTTGACAGATGGCAGCAGGTATATATACAACAGGGCTGATGTCAGATGCTTGACAGAGGGCAGCAGGTATATATACGAACAGGGCTGATGTCAGATGCTTGACAGAGGGCAGCAGGTATATATACAAACAGGGCTGATGTCAGATTATTGACAGAGGGCAGCAGGCATATATACGAACAGGGCTGATGTCAGATGCTTGAACAGAGGGCAGCAGGTATATATACAAACAGGGCTGATGTCAGATGCTTGACAGAGGGCAGCAGGTATATATATACAACAGGGCTGATGTCAGATGCTTGACAGAGGGCAGCAGGTATATATACAAACAGGGCTGATGTCAGATGCTGACAGAGGGCAGCAGGTATATATACAAACAGGGCTGATGTCAGATGCTTGACAGAGGGCAGCAAGTATATATACAAACAGGGCTGATGTCAGAATGCTTGACAGAGGGCAGCAGGTATATATACAAACAGGGCTGATGTCAGATGCTTGACAGAGGGCAGCAAGTATATATACAAACAGGGCTGAATGTCAGATGCTTGACAGAGGGCAGCAGGTATATATACAAACAGGGCTGATGTCAGATGCTTGACAGAGGGCAGCAGGTGTATATATACGAACAGGGCTGATGTCAGATGCTTGACAGAGGGCAGCAGGGTATATATACAAACAGGCTGATGTCAGATGCTTGACAGAGGGCAGCAGTGTATATATACAAAACAGAGGGCTGATGTCAGATGCTTGACAGAGGGCAGCAGAGGTATATATACAAACAGGGCTGATGTTCATGATGCTTGACAGAGGGCAGCAGGTAGTATATATACAAACAGGGCTGATGTCAGATGCTTGACAGAGGGCAGCAGGTATATATACAAACAGGGCTGATGTCAGATTCTTGACAGAGGGCAGCAGGTATATATACAAACAGGGCTGATGTCAGATGCTTGACAGAGGGCAGCAGGTATATATACAAACAGGGCTGATGTCAGATGCTTGACAGAGGGCAGCAGGTATATATACAAACAGGGCTGATGTCAGATGCTTGACAGAGGGCAGCAGGTATATATATATATATATATATATATATATACAAACAGGGCTGATGTCAGATGCTTGACAGAGGGCAGCAGGTATATATACAAACAAGGGCTGATGTCAGATGCTTGACAGAGGGCAGCAGGTATATATACAAACAGGGCTGATGTCAGATGCTTGACAGAGGGCAGCAGGTATATATACAAACAGGGCTGATGTCAGATGCTTGACAGAGGGCAGCAGGTATATATACGAACAGGGCTGATGCCAGATGCTTGACAGAGGGCAGCAGGTATATATACAAATAGGACTGATGTCAGATGCTTGACAGAGGGCAGCAGGTATATATACAAACAGGGCTGATGTCAGATGCTTGACAGAGGGCAGCAGGTATATATACAAACAGGGCTGATGTCAGATTCTTGACAGAGGGCAGCAGGTATATATACGAACAGGGCTGATGCCAGATGCTTGACAGAGGGCAGCAGGTATATATACAAACAGGGCTGATGTCAGATGCTTGACAGAGGGCAGCAGGTATATATACAAACAGGGCTGATGTCAGATGCTTGACAGAGGGCAGCAGGTATATATACAAACAGGGCTGATGTCAGATGCTTGACAGAGGGCAGCAGGTATATATACGAACAGGGCTGATGTCAGATGCTTGACAGAGGGCAGCAGGTGTATATATACGAACAGGGCTGATGTCAGATGCTTGACAGAGGGAAGCAGGTATATATACAAACAGGGCTGATGTCAGATGCTTGACAGAGGGCAGCAGGTATATACAAACAGGGCTGATGTCAGATGCTTGACAGAGGGCAGCAGGTATATATACGAACAGGGCTGATGCCAGATGCTTGACAGAGGGCAGCAGGTATATATACAAACAGGGCTGATGTCAGATGCTTGACAGAGGGCAGCAGGTATATATACAAACAGGGCTGATGTCAGATGCTTGACAGAGGGCAGCAGGTGTATATATACGAACAGGGCTGATGTCAGATGCTTGACAGAGGGCAGCAGGTATATATACAAACAGGGCTGATGTCAGATGCTTGACAGAGGGCAGCAGGTATATATACAAACAGGGCTGATGTCAGATGCTTGACAGAGGGCAGCAGGTATATATACAAACAGGGCTGATGTCAGATGCTTGACAGAGGGCAGCAGGTATATATATACAAACAGGGCTGATGTCAGATGCTTGACAGAGGGCAGCAGGTATATATACAAACAGGGCTGATGTCAGATTCTTGACAGAGGGCAGCAGGTATATATACAAACAGGGCTGATGTCAGATGCTTGACAGAGGGCAGCAGGTATATATACAAACAGGGCTGATGTCAGATGCTTGACAGAGGGCAGCAGGTATATATATATACAAACAGGGCTGATGTCAGATGCTTGACAGAGGGCAGCAGGTATATATACAAACAAGGCTGATGTCAGATGCTTGACAGAGGGCAGCAGGTATATATACAAACAGGGCTGATGTCAGATGCTTGACAGAGGGCAGCAGGTATATATACAAACAGGGCTGATGTCAGATGCTTGACAGAGGGCAGCAGGTATATATACGAACAGGGCTGATGCCAGATGCTTGACAGAGGGCAGCAGGTATATATACAAACAGGGCTGATGTCAGATGCTTGACAGAGGGCAGCAGGTATATATACAAACAGGGCTGATGTCAGATGCTTGACAGAGGGCAGCAGGTATATATACAAACAGGGCTGATGTCAGATTATTGACAGAGGGCAGCAGGTATATATACGAACAGGGCTGATGCCAGATGCTTGACAGAGGGCAGCAGGTATATATACAAACAGGGCTGATGTCAGATGCTTGACAGAGGGCAGCAGGTATATATACAAACAGGGCTGATGTCAGATGCTTGACAGAGGGCAGCAGGATCGTGACAGGGAGGTATTTTAGGATAACTTCAGTGTTTGCTTGAACTTGTTGTGAACACGGATCTTTGGTTTATCTCTCAATGAATACACCAAACAGGAAGTCAGGTCATAATGCCGTGCTGGATGATTAGTGTAACGATTGTTCACCTCCTGATATCTGAATGACAGAATCACATTCATGACTTTGGCCTCTTGTGAAATATTTGGAATACTTCTCTGCGGTCCCTGAACTGAACCGCATTCATTGGGGTTCTAAGACTGTCGTGGTGCGCCCAGGATCCATCATGTGACTTCATCTTTGTTTAGAGTATACTTCATTACACAGAATGTCTTTGAATATTTATTTATATCCTGTCTCCCTCAGGCGGACTACGTGCAGCCTCTGGTCGCAGTGCAGCTGTTGCTATCGAAAGAAGACCTGAACGTGGAGCAGACGGTTGAGTGTAGAGTGGAGGGTTCAAACCTGCGTAACAATGATGAGCGGGACAAGGCTCTAGGTCGGGTCACTTTCCGGGTCTTGGTGTCCGAGTAACCAAACCAGCCTGTTATCCTGGATCCACAAACTCATTTAAACTGTGAATGAATCACTCTGTAATCCAGACCTGATCCAATCCTGGACATCTGAATCTGCTTCAACCTGTATGAGGTCACCTGAACCACTGACACCTGATCCTGACCTTGTTTCACTTTTGATCATGGTCCTAAATCTGGTTCAGGTTAAGACCTGATCCTGGTTCAGTCCTGTTTTTGAAGGTTTTCAGTTGTTGGAGCAGATCAGGTCTGTTGAAGCATGTGAACCAGCTGCACATTGATGTGTTGTTTTTTAAATGTATTTATAAAGTGATGTAATAAATAGAATGAGCCCAGCACAAACTAACCAACCGTATTATTGAAGACAGGAAAATAACTATTTCTAAACTTTGTAAAACATTCAGCTGCTCAGTAATAGGATTACTGTTCTCCACACATGGAAGCACATGAACTGCCTTTACAATATTAAGAAACTGTAAATGTGATTACTCAGTTTCCAGATGTTAGCTGAACATCAGGCTCAGGGAGGAGGAGCAGCAGCCGGATGACTGAGCGTACAGCAACACGTTACAGAGAGCGCTTCACTGTAGGCTGTTTTAACAGTTATCACATTACTGATTGTCTGTATGTTCACATTGCACATCAGCATTGAACAGAATATTCCAGTTTATGCAAACCACTACCGACAAAGATTTTAGTGTTTTAGCACAAACTTTTCATAGATGGGTTAGAGATGTAGAAAATGATAAATGTTTAATGTAGTTTCCTGTTTCAACGTGTCCCAGTGTAACACTGACTGTAGAATAGAGATGAATTATGAAGATGATCAAATCAGGTATTTGAGAGGGTGCTTAATACGGGTGTTAACCAGATGTAACTGAAAGTGCACCCTCTAGAGGTTTAACACTACACTGTGAGGGAACATGTTGCTGGTGTTCTACCTGCTGGGACCCCCACCTGTGTTTGTAAACATACTTTGTTACACATGAGTTCTACCAATATGTCCAACCCACTGTTGTACAGTTTTTGAAATGTGAATTGAAGTGTGATCCAAATGACTACTGTTGTATGATTATTAAACAAAATGAGTCTTCAGTAAATCAGCTTCATTTTTCATTCATTTAGGATCAAAAGCCACATCTTTTGATCCTTCATTGTCATGTGGAAATGTATGCGAAATTGAAAATTCGTAATTGCCAGGTGTATATATTGGGGGTTAGGTTTATCAAATATCTCATGGGCTTCCCCACTCAGTCCATCAAGACTCGAGCAGTTATACAGAAGTCCAAGGCAAGGCACGGGCCGGCGCATCGCGGTCAAAGTAATCCCTAGCCATATGAACTTTGACCCTTAGAGATAGGTGACAGAGGTGAAGAGGCACGGCGTGTCTATGTCAATGCACTCCCCTAGGGTAGGGTGAGGGGTAAGGAACAGAGATGAAGAGGCATGACGTGTCTACGTCAGTGCACTCCCCTGCCGGTCTAGGCTTCTCTGTACCCCGTTACTCTCTACGAGGCCATAGACCGGGAACGGGGGGTTGGGGCCAAGGGATAAGGGGTTTAGGGTAAAAAGCAGGGGTAAGAAGTGGAAAAATATGTATAAGGTACTTTAAAAAAAAAAATAATTCTATCTCTTTTTGTCCATTTTACTATTTTTATTTTTTAAACGTTTCAATTTGTTATAATTGTATTCGACACATCAGCAGTAGACCTCGGGATCATTGAGTGTTTCGGACATTTTTCTGCAGTTTCTATATATTGGCTAAAGTCCTACTTATCGAACAGAAAACAGTGTGTTCTGGTCAACAGTGCAAAATCGCCCTACCTTGTCAACCCAGTTGGGGTTCCACTAGGTTCCATTCTTGGACCGTTACTTTTTTTCCCTGTACATAAATGACTTGCCTAATGTGTGTCCTGTGTTGAATGTGCACATGCCGACGATGCGGTCATCTTTATACACAGGAAAAACACTGAAATGATCTCATCTTGTCTCTCTAATGCAGTGGTTCTCAACTGGTGGGTCACGACCCGAAAGTAAGAAATTCAAAATCAATGTTTAATGGCGTAATTTAGTTTAAACATACAGTAAGCTTAAAACTGTTTTATTCTGAAAACATTTCCGGTTAGCATTCGTCTGTGGCTAACGTTGTTGATAAAGTTTATTTTGAAAAGCTTTACCGGAAAAAGTCTCCGGAATATCAACAGTGAGCTTAACTTCCGGTTTTATGTTACCACGCTACTTAATTAAAGTACCCATTTGAACCTTTTGAGAGACTCCATTTGTCTCTTTATTTTAAGCTTCTCTCCTGGGACGCGAGAACAACGAATACATCTAACAGTCGCGGACCCGTTTCAAGTGGTTCGCAGATGTGTGAGTGAAGACAAATGTAAAAAAATGTTTAAAAAAAATATTTATTTTTGAAAAAAGTCAAACTTTTATTTTGAAGGCCCGATGTTCTAACGCTGTGCATGCAGTGGGCGTTGGACAGGAAGTACCGGAGACCATAAACGGTTTGGAAAACAGCTGTCACGTAGTGATCATCTTCTCAATAAAACATCTTTGATGTTTTCTCGAGTCTTCTGGCCAATCAGAATCAAGAAGATTGTTGCCGGAAGTCCCCACGGAGAATAACTTTGCGGTAGAACTATTCTTTATACAATACATCCATGGGTACAACTTCAGATACAAATGAACACATAATGAAATATGACCCCCAGTCTGATGACTGACAGGTCACAGAACAATGGGGGCTATCTACCCTTACCCACAATGTAAAGTAATTCACAGACTCTCTCCTCTTTGCTCTCTCTCTGTGAGGAGCAGCAAGCTGTCAGAACTAAGTGAAAAACAAACAATGGCATAAAATATTATGAATATGTCGGATAGCAATATATTTATTTATTTTCTTCTCAGAGTGTACCAAAATGCGTAGTTTATATGTTAATATTTCTAAAAATCTCCTGGAGGACAATCCCCCCCAGACCCCCCTGCTGGGGTTGGGTTTTCAGCACGTGTGCCTTTTTACGTTATACAGTTCAGCTTTGATTCCATCATCTCATTAAACCTTTTTTAAAAGCATACTTTAGTTCTGTGAAGGGATATAAGGGAAATATGCACTGTACTTCACTTTTATTAATATTGTATGCTGATAAGTGTATATATATATTGGTTCATAGGTTCAAAATGTTGGGTCGCAATCTATTGACCAATGGCGGCCGGCCCATAGGGGCGCTAGGGGCGCCGCCCCACCTCTTCACACATTAAAAATAAAAAAAATATTTAAAAAAATATTTTTATTTTTAATAAACAAGGTAAATATGATATAATTGGTATCAGTAAAATGTATAATATACAATAACATCTCGTTTAAAATTGTGTTATGATGTCTAAAGTTACATGTTTCCTGCCTGGCCTTGCCCATGTATCATTACCCTCTCGTCTGGGCGGTAAGAAAGGAGCCCTCAACCAGTGCAGCAGCAGCCACTAGCAGCTGACTGTTGCTATCTGTAAACTATGATGCCGAAACATAATTTCAGCCAATCAGCGTCGTCAAATCTGATGATCACCGGGCGCCAATGTCAGCGCCCGGTCCAGTCTGTGAGTAGTTTGGACAGTGACTCGTATCCGGGTGACGCAGTAGTTGATGAGGATGGCTTCGTGTGCAGGTGGAGTCTCCGGACCTCGGTCCCTGCCCAATTCCGTTCAAGAGCTAATCTCCAATCCTTTCGAAAGGAGAAGTTTGGGAGATAAACTGTTGCTTAAAGACCTTGGACCGGACCAACCCGATTTGTATATATATCGCAGCAAGCTCGTGAAAAAGACAAAACGTATCAACGAGGCTTCTAGCTGGTACACCAGAAAGGCATGGCTAGCTGGATGCAAACAGGTAAATGCTGTCTTTTGTTTCCCATGCTTGCTCTTCAAACAGCCGGGGACAGATACGATGTGCCCGTGGACTGTGACGGGGGTAAACGATATGAAGCATTTGTCCGAAAAAATTAAAAAGCACGTGTGCACAAAGTTACATATGACAAGTACCTTCAAGCTGGGCAAAGCTAACATAGCCGCGCAGCTAGATCAAGGGTACAAGATCTCTTTGAAAAAGCACAATGAAGAAGTGGACAAGAATAGGCACGGCTTGTCTAAAATAATTGATTGTGTGACATTTTGTGGGGGCTTTGACGGTGCAGCGGTGATGAGGGGAGCTAAAGGTGGAGTTCAGCGGAAAGTGAAGGATGTGTACAGTAGTGCATCCACTGCTATGCACATCAGCTGAACCTCATTATGCAGCAGGCAACATCCCACATCCCCAAGATAAGAACATTTCTTTCAGACCTTGGTGGATTTGCTGCATTTTTCTCCAGGTAATTTAAGCGAACTGCGATCCTGGATCAAGTGGTGGCACACAGACTTCCTGGCACTTCCACAACAAGATGGAACTTTCACAGTCGTGCTGTTAACACTGTCTATGAGCACAAGGAGAACATCCTGAGGTGTTTCCAGACAATCAGAGACTCAGGTGACTTTGATCCCATAACAGTGAGAGAAGCTGGGGCTTTGTGAGAATGATGGAAGATTACGTTTTTTGCTTTTTCCTGACATTGTTCCACAAGATAATGCCACATGTAGACATGCTGTTTAGCCAACTGCAGAAGAGGAACATCGACTCTGTCTACATCACAGGATCATCGAGAGGTTCACCAGCAGCATACAAACAATCAGGTAAATCATTATTTACAATGGCTGAGAAATGCTTATTATAGGAAATCTATGAAACCTAAATGTGATTTAGCTGAACACAATAGACCAACTCATACATACTTACTGGAAATGTATATAGTATATAACGTTTATAAGGTGTATCTCTGACTACTATTTCAAATAGTCAAACCTAATTTATCAATTCTTGCCACAATGAGTAATTGTACATGGTTACTTGTGGTTTGGATCAGGGACTCCATTCCTTCTGGTGAAAACAGTGGATCTGTGCAGCAGCTGCCCACAAAGAAACGGAGGGCACTTGGACATGAAGAGCATCAGCTGTTGGCTAGAGAGGTCAGCAGTAATAGGAACGTGTTCTATGACAAAAAGCTCCTTTCATAATATAGGTAATTTCACATCACAATAATGATACATTTCACAAGAAAGCCCATTTTCTGTCAATTCAATAAATAGGTAGGCTAGTTAAAATATCCACATGGAAAGGCCTATTGCTTATTATATTCTGAATTGTATACACTTAACAAGGCCTAAACTGCAAAAAGACAGATCAGAAAAGGGTTAGGCCTCCAGAAGCAACCACAGGGGACAGAAAGGGCCCACCAATGAATAAATGAAGTGTAAACATAGTCATTAAATGTATATATTGTAGTGACTTCATTTTAAACAGTAATATTGTTCCGTTGACGCTCAGATAGATGTCCTGTTATTCTGATAGGTTCCATTCACAAGAAAGCTCTTTGTTTGTTACACATCGTATAGGGAACACTAATGACATTATGACTGACAGATGTGAAAAGGTGATTCTGTTATTTATGATGTCTTGATGTTTTCATTGTGCATTATTTCATAGGTATGTGAATCCATACTGAGTCACGCAAAGGAGAGACACCTCATCAGCTCCACCCTCCTGCAAAGAGACCTGTTCCAGCAGCACAGCCGAACATCCCCTGAAGCAGCGCTGGAAACAGCTGTGGAGGCCCAGCCTCTACTGGACAAGGCAAAGCTCAAGACGGAACTGTCCCTCGTCTCTGACACTGACCAGTTCAGGACTTGCAGTGGTGCAGTTACTCTGCTCCAGTTCTTCATTGACAACAATCTGCAGGAGACATTCACAGAGACTGTGAGTCTTCTGAAGGTTCTTGTAACCACACCCATGGCTACGGCTGAGGCAGAGAGGTGCTTTTCCACTCTGAAAAGGATCAAGACTTTCTTGAGGAACAGCATGACACAGGATCGCCTGAATGCTCTGGCTATGCTGTCAATTGAGAAAAAACTCATTAGGAGCATTCCTGACTTCAACACCAGAGTCATTGAGAGGTTTGCCACTCAGAAGGAGAGAAGGGACACACACACACACACACACACACACACACACACACACA